AAGCAGTTAATTTCATTCTGTGAAATTCAGCACTTTGACAGAGAGAGCTTGGACTCAATTAATCATTGATTATGTTTCAGTGGACACATTTGTACAGTTACAGGTTTGTTAACTATTTATGACACACCAGGGAGACACCAGGTATAATACAGATACTACTGGTATGGTGTATTATAGTGTTGTCACAATACTGGAATTTTTAACTTCCACACGATACCTTGAAAAATATTAATATTCGATACAATGGAGAAAAATAGAGGGCATAAAACGTATTCATTTTTATTAAAAGTCAAACAAAGATTTTTCTTTTCTTGGTTAGTAGCAGAGGACAGCAGAATGACTGTAGCAAACATTAACAATAAGACAAAGTGAAAAAGCACAGCTGGTACCGGTGTATCAATACTGAGTTTTGAAACCATTTCAAATATTCAAAATCGATGTAGCAATAAATCATTATTTTTGACAACACTAGTGTAGTGTACTTTGACGATACCTCAACTTACACGGCCTCAATTCCTGATCTGCCATATTTAAATTTTTAAATTATTTAAATACCTTGCTGAGTGGAACTCATTTGATTTATGTTAGGTGACCAGAAACAGCTGAGGTGTACCAGCCCGCTGTGACTAAATGAACACCAAATTTTATGATATGATTTGAAGCTGTATTAAATGTGGATAAGTAACATCTAATTAGTGCATCTATAATTGTGAGGTATATTTATCTTAAAATATTGCTTATAATACACTCTGCTTTTCACATCAATGTTGTCTCATGCTAAAAGCACCATGTGTGGTGCAAGGGAGACTATACATTATGTTCTCCAGTTTGTTTTGGACAATGGGTTAAACATGAAGTTAACAAAATTGATTAAAACACTAAAGAAAATTCACTGCATGTCAGTGTTATGGCAGTCTGGGGTGGCAAACCAAACCAAAAAGCCATAACTGAATTTCAGAAATTTGAAATTAGAATATAGGGTAGTTAAAAACTATGTCGATAAGGAAAGTTAAGGAATTGCATACTGAAATACTTTCTTATTTTACAGTTGATATGGCTAAATATCTGATATGCATAGACTAACACCAGTACAGTTAACATGTTGAGTTCCACAACTATCCTTTATTAATGTGTTATGTATCTGCGCATTAGGCAATTTATTGCTCTTCAAATAGGCTCACTGTCCTTCTCCTAAAAAATTTTTAATTTAAGGCAGTATATTGGTTGTAAGGAACAAAATATTGACTGGTAGCTGGGTGAGCCTTCTCACGTTTGGGGAAGACTTGTGGGTAACCATAGAACCCATTTTTTTTGGATATCTTGAGCATGATTGTGAGTGTTCAAAGGACCCCTTTAAAAATACCCATGTCAGCTGTTCCCAAAATTTCGCTTAAATCTGGAGCATTATTTAGCCCCCTTACTGATAAGCTATACTGAGACAGGTGGTACTGTCTAGTTTCACAAGATACTACTACATAAGCATGCCACAGCCTCTTAAATACAGTAATATTAGCCTCCATTATTTTTGCTAAGGGGGTCCAGTGCAGAGGTGAGCAATTGTATCAAGGGGCCGTGCCCCCCTTAGCCTCCCTTTGGAGGCACCACTGTGGCAAAGGCTTTAGCATTGGGTACAGGCTGATAACAGCCTCAACTCTGCATTTAAATGACTCTGTTTCCACCTGAAGGCCTATCTGTACAGGCCTGCAACTGCAAACAGGCCTACAGATAAGTAGTCAAATCATCATAAGCTCACAGCTTGCATATAAAGAGGCTTTTTCAATATTGTTAGAGGAGGTGATGCACATTGCAAGTTTAATATTTTACAGGCCCACACTGGACTATAAAAACAGCTCGAGGCGGTATTTAACCTTGCTTTGACTGTCAAACATAAGCAACTACAGCCAGCCTCAGGCAATCACAGTGACGATCAGAGTGTTAGCAACACTTAAAGACTGAGTACACCGCACATCACAGAGGATAGACCGTGTTTCAGCCTACTGAAAGTCTAACTGGACTTGAGCAACATAAGGTTATTAATTATTAATAAAGAAATAGTGACTGCATGTTCTCTCCACAACACCACAGAGGTCACTGGTAGATTGAAGAATACAACATACATCATTATTAAACTCTTTATAAAAACACACTTACTATTTCTACACAGACAAGAGCTCCAGAGTAAGTTCTCAGTACTTCCAGTCCCAAAGGTAGAGAAATAGTTGGCGCAGGGAACGAGGTGGCAGCGGGGTTAGTGGCTGGTTCCGACATCTCTATATCTCCCTCTGTCTTCTCTCTATCTCCCCCTCTCCTCTGGCTCTCACCCTCTGTCTCCCACTAAACAGACTCCGCTCAACAAAGGACGGGAGCAGCGGAGGAAATTCCTTCGGAGTCATGTGTCCCCCAAACAGGTCGGACAGGTGCAGGGGCCACTCCCTGGAAACCGACGCTGCATTCAAGGACCTCACGGAAGCTCCTACACCCAGGTGCCCGGTTTGTAAACCTAATACAGTGCGTCTGTGTGAGAAATAAACACAACTGGGACTCCAAATTTGAATTGGTTGTGAACATGACTATAAATGCAGTAGATTAAATTGAACACACACACACACACACACACACACACACACACACACACACAAGATTTTATGCAGTGGTGGAATATACATTTACATTACATACTTTCGCGGCACTTCCATCCATCTTATGCAAAATTATAATACTATTCCACATCTCAGAGGCTAATATTGTGCTTTACACTCCACTACATTTATCTGACAGCCTTAGTTACATTTAATATTGGAATTTTTCATAACCTTCCTATACACTACAAACTCTGTACCTCAATGTGATGCTTATAATAGTGGTTTTTTTTTTTGATAATACTAATTGATAATGATTCTCCTTATATGTATTCTCAAAGAACAGTGATGCTACAAACATGATGATCTTAAAGAATCTGATGCATTGCTTCAAATTAAACTACCCAGCAGTAAAATGCAGTACGTAATAGTTAGAATAAATACAACCTAAAAAGCAGAAAAATGCAACATATAGTTAAGACAAGTCAAATTCTGTTATCAAATAACTACCATATATATTCATGTGCATTAAAGGTCCAGTGTGTAGGATTTAGGGACATCTATTGGCAGAAAAAAAAAGTATATAATATTGATAACTATGTTTCAATTATAGTTTATAATCACATGAAATTAAAAATCATTGTGTTTTTGTTACCTCAGAATGAGCCATTTATCTACACACAGAGCCTGTCCTCTCCCATGGAGTCAGCCATGTTGTTTCAACAGTAGCCCAGAAGGGACAAATTAAAACACTGGCTATAGACAGGGCAATTTGTGTTTTTGCGACGGCCACCATTCTCCTGCACGCTTGGCACACGGGAGTAACCTCACTGCTAGATGCCACTAAATCCAACACACAGAAACGTAAATGCAATATTATTGTTTATATTGATACACATGAATGCACCAGAAATAATAATCCAGAAGCATCATATATAATAGCACAGCACAGATGGAGACATTTTTTCAGCAGAGTGAGGTTTGCTGGTACTTACATACTTTTACTAGTAACAGAGTATATGCATAGAGTAGTATTGGTACTTTAACTTAAGAACTGATACACTTCTTACACCACTTCTTATATGTGCAACATGGGCTGGATGAGGCCATTAAAATGTGGACAAGTCATATAACTACGCTTTTAATTTATTAGGTAGAAGTTGCTTATTACAACAGAAAGGGACACTAGAAAATACATTACCCATAATGAATGACAACCAAATGCATTTTCCTCATGTCAGTCAAGACAACCCATGTATTGATGGTTATAACATGCCAATGAATTTGGTTTCAGCAGAGTAAATCTACTGTCTGCATCAAATGTTGGTAGTATAGGTAGTATATCAAGTATGTAATAAAAGGCACCAGGATGTGTTTACAATGACGAAACACCTGAACAATGATCCTCCACCTGTTTGCATGGCTTTTACACTCTCCACACCCTAAATGTCAATTCTTGATAACTGTGCAATCGTTCACATTGTAAAGGTATGTGCTCATCCAGCACTTCTGGTAATTCCAACACCGACTGAAGGCAGCAACTTTACTCTGGCTTTGTCAGTTTGTTGGAGAGCTTGGCTCCTCTCTGTGTGAGCTGCTGCCAACAGACAACACAGCTCAGAAACAATAGTGAGAGGAAAAAAAATCTGAAACTATTGGTGACATTGATTTCTTTAACTCTGTTTGAAAAGAAATGAAGGCTAAGGAACAATAGTGTGTGTGCTGGTTAACCTACCCAGTGCAGGAGCAAAGAAGTTTGTAAAGTAAATATTAGCTTAAAGGTTAGAGTCGCAGCTGAAGAGAGGAAAGAACTGATTTCCAAACAGACTCTGTCACATTTACCATGTTTGCGTTAAAACATGGAGCTGAAATATCAAGTGCTGGAGGGAGGTTTTCTGACAGCACAGTTTTTTCTTTTGATCAAATTGTGAAGCAAAATAGTTTTGTTGTTACTTCACTTGGTGAGAGCAGTTTCTTATGGTAAGCCACAGTTAATGTTTAACCAGGGCTTGGGTGATGTGAACCAATGTTGATATAACCTCTTAAAGGGCAATGAGCTTAGTTCAATTCAGTGTAACTGGCAATTAGAATGACTTCGACCCGTATAAGACCCTGTATCCTATCATGTGATGTAAGACAACTGTTGCACTGCTAGGTCGGAAATATTTTTCAAGGCAGATGTTTTTTTTGCAAGCATAAAGGAAACACATAGGCCTATTTGACCCTGTTATCTGTACATGGAAAGACGTTCAACTCGATGGGTCTCTGGAGTCCTCACTGTCATCTATGGAGCAGCAGGAAGCCAGAGATAAATCTCCTCCTGGACTAAACTGCTGATTCTTCAGCTTTACTCAATGCAGCAACCTCTGATACTGCAAGATTTAAATAAGGAAATTGCGAAATATAAAATGAGTCAATCCATTATTCTATTTTCCATGTTTTTATTGTTTATTTTAGAAGCAGTCGAAGAAAACATCCAGAAGATACAACTTTGTGCTTACACTTGTATTTTTTTTGCTTTTAATTACAAATTATTGATACAAGTAGGAACAAAATATTAATAAGTAAGATAATGAAAACTAAAGGAAGCTCATTCAATGGATATATCACATTTATATTTATTTAGTGCTTTTATTTCATAAAAGAAATTAAAAAAATAATAAAGTAACAGTATATTTGAAGGGCTGTCTATTATTGTATGGAAGAGTAATAACAATCAGATCATGAGGCAGTGGGTTAGCCTACTGTACAATGGCTGATAGGGCTTGAATTACATGAAGTGAAAGACAAATGAATGGCTAGCCACAGGGATTCAAGCCTCACATGCCCATGAAAATTTTCTGCTACAAGGCACATCATTAAATTTCTTTGCCGAACGTGAGACCTCAGCACAATCCTCACCTCCATCACTATTATTGGGCTCCCCGGCTTGCCAGAATTCGCCTACTAGATCAGTCCCATCCACCCACTTCCACATGTTCTCCTGCTCTCTGTCAGTCAAACCGATCCAGGTGACTGCATACATTTTGCTGACAAATATCAGCTCTTCCTGTGTGGTTATAATCACCAGGTCTGCTCCTCTTTCTTTACAGTCTTTCCTGCTGGCGTCCCAGGTTTTAGTCACTCCGCTGGGAGAGAAATAGTAGCACTTGTTCCTGAATGTTTTCCATCCTTGGATGCAAGGTTGACCTAGAGACAGAACAAGTGAATTTTAGTTATAGTGATCCTGAAACCATTGGTAAGATTTGGAGACCATTAGGGAACAAGTTGGGAACTTCTCGAGACTAGTTTCCACCATTAAGTGATGTTGTTTATAGCAAGTTAGAATGACCAATCCTCAAGCACTTGCCCGCTGTAAACATCAAGATCACATGACAGACAAAAGAGAAACTGCGATAATGAACAAGATACAGAGGCAATACTCAGTCACTGTAGTGGAAATGACAACTGTTGCTAGCAGATTTCATCAGCTGTAGCTAGGTAGCTACTTAAGCTAATATTAGCATTGTGACTTGATTAAAAACGCTGTCTCCAGCTGACATTTGATGTGTCCACCTGAGTCATCTTATCTTGTTTTAAAAAGGTGTTAAAGGTCCAGTGTGTAGGATTTAGAAGGCTTTATTGGCAAAAATGGAATATAACATTGGAAGTATGTTTTCTTTAGTATATAATCACCTAAAAATAAGAATTGTTGTGTTTTTGTTACCTTCAGATGAGCTGTTTATATCTAAATAGGAAACAGGTCCTTGTTCATGGAGTTTGGCACCTTCACCACCATGGTTCTACAGTAGCCCAAAGCAGACAAACCAAACAATAGCTCTATAGGCGCCAAACCACCATAGTTAGCAGCACTTATGCAACTAGAATGCCAGAAAAACAGATTCTTTTAAGATGAAACTGCTTTATTTAGTGTTTTTAACAGTTTAAATAACTGGATCTGTTTGTTCTGGAGAAGAAAAGATGGATGCAGATGATCCTAAAAGGTGAGCGGCCTGCCTGCGACATGCCAAACAGCATTGGAAAAACACTGATTTGTAATGTGAAAGTGCTTTATTCAGTGATTCACTGGTTTTAATCATTGGGACAGTTTGTTTTGTGAAAAAAAGAGACCCCTGTGGATAATTCGTCTCCCAGTAAAAAACCTCCTGAACAGTAAACGTTGAAGGAATTCTAACCGGGAAAAGTTTCAGCTGGTTGCAGTCTGCAGTCTTCACCACTAGATGCCACTAAAACCCCTTAATCTTACACACTGCTCCTTTAAATGTGTACTTGATGACTGACGCTAAGGCTTCACACACAAGGCAAAAAGTCAGCATGATGGACACATGGAAATAAAGAAACAGGAGTGTTCTTGTATTGCAAGAGTAAAGCTAGTCATATTATGGTAGGAAAAAATGTAAGCTCAGCCATCACTAAGCTTTTAAATCCATCTCTTACACTGGCCCTGTCCAAATACCCGCACTTGCGCCCTTGTGCCCCTTCATTGCGCGCTCCCGCTAAGGGGCGCAAGTGCGTAGGGTGTCCAAATTGTCTTCTGTTGTTATCAAGGGGTGCAAACCTGCGCCCTTAATGCACCCCTTCCGAAAGTGCGCATCAGACCTCACTTCGCTGAAGGATTTTACCCAGAATCCTCCGTAGTGTCGTGACGCCGTGACACTGCACAGCTGGCCGGTACAACTCACCATCTTCAAACGGTATCTGAGGTATCCGCGAGCCGTTAACTCCGACTGACAACAACCGTTAGAGGAACATAACGTCTAACAACACGCTGTGTGGACTTAATAATACATGACAGGGCATTAATAATGAAATAATATACAGTTTACAGTTGACTGGAGGTTTGTATGACAGTCCACATCACTTTACAGTTTTGATTGTGTCTTTAATTATTATTATTTTATTACCGTATGTCTTTATAGTTTATTTTATATCACAATTTATCCAAGCAAAAAACGTTTTAATAATAACTGTAATCTAGGCTACGTTAACGGTAGAGTAAAAAAAGATGTTACAGCTAATATACACATTATTAACAGGTAAATTCAAGAGTAAAATTTAATTTAATTTACCTGTTGGTTGGGCATCACCATCAATACTTGGATCTGATGTAGATGCCGCCTTCTCCTGCGGCTCCTAATCCTCCTCATCATTCGCTGATTGTATCTATTTATCATTTGCAGCAGCAGTGCTGCGAACAACGTTATTTCCTCTAACGCCATGTTTCGTCTCCTAGGAGACGGACCACCTGGACCCAAACAGAAGTGACGTGTACGCAACTGTCCCAATTCTCCTTTTTAAACAGCACCAATCCCTTGCGCACTTACGCCCCTAACTGCAATTTTGGCAAGTGCACTTCAGGAAAGACCTCAGGGCGCAAGTGCGGGTATTTGGACAGGGCCACTCTTTCCTGTCTTTGTGTTGTTGCTTTTGGAAATTATTTAAAAAAAGACAAGAACATGTTCCATATACATAACAAAATTTAAATTAGAGTTTGGACGTATTGTTCCAGTTTTACAATACTATTCTATGTGTCTGTAGTTTGCTGCGATCTGCACTCTGCTTAGTGCACCTTTCTAGGTCTCTGTACAGTAACAAAAATATCAAGCTTCACTGAGTTGTAAAGACTCATAGCTCCAGTGTCATGCAGTGAGTCTTCAGTCGGTTTAATTATTCCTATAACTATGCAGAATATTGTAGGTAGTTGTTACACAGATTAAACTTTCACTTTTGGTGCAAAACGCCTACTGTTTACACAACTGTGACTCTGAGAGTTGCTATTTTGAATACAAGGATTTTGTGTTTTCTGTTTAAAGTTATACAGAGGTATTCAGCATTTCTGTTTAACATTAAACAGAGAGTACAGGGTTATTGAGACCTGGTGGATTCATCAGTAACCAAACCTTGTACTGATTAGAAAGACTAGCAGATAATTTAACAGGTTGTCTGATATGACGCTGTATTAGTTTTGACACATTATCTTATTATCTTGACCCTCATAGAGTATACTAGTATGCATTTCATGATTCACCCAGGTATCTTGGGGGTTGACAATGTACCTTTATTTTCTCCCTCAATTTGCTTTGTACAACAATGAATCCAAATCAAAGAACACTCCATTCAAGTTTTAATTTCTAGCATTTCTTACCTGTTCTGTTTGAGTCTTTGCTTCTGGTTCTGAGTGTCTCGTTTAACCTTATGACCTCCTCTTGTAGTTTATCTCGACTCGCCGCCATGGTGTTGTATTGGCTCTGAAGTACCTCCATATCTCTCGTCAGGTTGCTGGATTGAATCTTCAGTTGGTCCAGCTCATTTCTCAGATTGTCTCTGTCGACAGTCAGGCTGTAGATCAGGTTTTCACACTTCACGTCCCAGTGACTGATGGCACCGGAATCTGCAACAAGTTTTAGAATCAATGGAAAACCGTGAAAATGATCAACTGACAACTCCTAGTGGTAGTATTGATTGATTTCGAGTGTTCAGTGGGAGTTTTTTGTTGTGTATTTATGCTCATTGTTGAGACTTGTACTTACTGTGGGCCACCACACCTAAGATCAGAATCAGCAGAAGAAGCCCCAGACACACTCCAGCAGCTCCAATCCACACTGCAGAACACATCATCACAATAAGGCAATGAAACCAAAAACAAGCAATGTGTAATTTGTTAAATGGTTTAATTAGCAGCACTTTGTCCTTATCTACATTTCATCATAGACAAAATAGCCTTTTTATAATTACTACTATTTCGGCTACAGTGAATGTTGCGCTGTATACTGACAGGAATGTGGTTACATGTGTATTCTTACCTGACATTTGAGATCGGCATCCATACTTTGATCTGCCATCATAAGCCATCAGGTTCACACTGTCTTCCCCAGCCTCCAGTGACTTGCAGTTCAGTGCCACTGACATCTGTGAAATTTGTGGTCAGTGTCTGCGTCTGTTTTTTTTATGAAGGTTCAATGACTTGCTGACACTGCAAATGGGAACCTGTGGGTAAGACGTGTTTGGTTTAGGAAAGACAACCCCTTGGGTTGAGGTTTTATGTAAAGCAGAACTCTGAGATCTTTTTTTACATTAGTTGTGAGTTGTAGTGGATATATGAAGCACTTAATTACATTTTTATATATAATGTATATACTGTATTTCTTCATCATAGGCATTTGTTAAGATTGCTTTGCAGATTTATTTATATTTACCATCTTAACATTACAGCTGTTTGCTTAGAATTGTGTGTCAGTGTACAGTAGCAGTGTATTTAAGCCTGTGATTAAGTTTTGTTTTTTATTTGCCTCAGGATTGCGGACTGAGCCTTTAAGGGTGGCACAGTTACAGGACAGTCAGCAAAACCCTTTGAATTACTTCCTGTTTCAAATAACAGGATGTCAGCCCGTGTTCATGTGCTCAAGTGTGAGAACTTGTTGTTGTCAGAAATAACATTGCGTAACTGACCTAACTCATAATAACCTCTTCAGGCCTAAATATAAAGGCATAGTTACAGCTGTAGGCTTTAAGTGATAATAGTCTTGATAGCCTTGATAGGTTGCCATGTGACCCTGTAGGTTATAGAAGCCCAAAGAGTGGGGCAGCAATCAGCAAGTCACTGCAAATATTGACGGTCACCATAAAGACAGCAGTTTTTGTTCTCTTAAATCCACTTGCTCATGTTCAACAGTATAACAAACAATGGAAAATGCATGATAAAGGTAAACTCAAATTAATTTGACAGTTTTTTTCCCGAGCATTTAGCCACATCTCCCTCACACAGCTTCGTTCAGCAAATAAGGCTGGCTCAGGCATCATTACGTGACCAAAGGTGGAGATCCTGACAACTGGCTCAGTTCAAGGACGGTCTTAACATTGAATTTGGGTGGCAAGAGTTATAAGGTCTTCCCATTCAATTCAATTCAATTCAATTCAATTCAGTTCAATTCAATTCAATAGTTTATTGTCATTGTTATAGTAAACAACGAGATAGTGTTGGAGCATTCCTGTCACTGCATAGTCATAGTGATACCAATAATAATCCCAAATAGATAGTGAATCCAATCCACAGAATAAATAAAAATAAAGTGCATTATGACAGCATTTTAATAGATACAATGTAATATTCAGTGTGTGAGTGTTCACAATTATTAGCACAGTTATATTCAGTTAAAAACAACCATGTATTAATTGATGCCACACAACCATCAACTATCTCACAGCTGCAAGATCATTCAGTATGTTTGTCAGTAATGCAGCCAGATCACACACACAAAAAAAAACAAGACAAAAAAACATACACATAGTGTGTGTGCTTGTATGTTTAACATGTTATTGATACTGCAGTAGATTGTATGGAGACAAAATTGTTTTACTTAGGGGGCATTTTCTTTTCAATATGTTCCAATGCAAACCATCAGTGTGTCTCCCTCTAGTGGCCTAAAGGTGCACAATACTCAAAAACCTAAAGAACTTTTAAGTTAATGATTAATTCAGAGAGAGATTATGTGAGAAATTAATAAATAAATTCACCTTTTTTTAGCATCTTTCATGCACAGAAAGCAGCACAAAGGCTTAACACACACATACACACAGAGGAAGGGAGAAAACAAGTGTTATTGAGTGCTGTTATCTACAAATTAAAGCAAATATTAAAGATTATAATTAATTCATTTTTACTTTGCTAACTGGAGACCGCTGTGCAACTGAATGTCCCCAAACCCTGAAGTCTGAGCAGGTTACCATACAACCACACCCCTTCCCCTGCAGACTTCCTTGATCCTCGGCATACTGTTTTCAAGTCTAGCTTTACCTCAGGCTGAACCAGGGGCCCAGCGGTCCCTCTCTACTGCTGGGCTTTGAATGGAAGCACAAGTACAGTTAATCACATATGGACACACAATGCAGTTATTGCCCATTTACAGTGAAAACCTCAGACCATAATTAATCTCAAGTATTTCCATTGCATTCCAGTCACTGTATGTGCTGTCCAAATGTCCACAGTATACTTTTGCTTTAAAGCTGTAACTGATTTGTTCGCCACTTGGGGTACAGTGCACACAGTCTGACACACATATGACCTTATAAAGTTGCTGTGGCTGACATGTTAGCCAACAATTGCAGGTTTAAACATCCAGCAGACACAGAGCAACATTAACATTCATGTAGAGCTGTTTTACCTGTGCTTTTGCTGCTATGATAAGTCAAAATGTTTTCCATTAAAAAGTGTATCTATTTTTTATATAGTAAGATAAACTCCCTGAATTCTTTGCATCCTTCAACACCCTGTCTCTAGCTTTAGCTTGATCAGGTAGCCTAGAGTACAGGGTTTATCGGAGTTTCTCCAAACACCACTAACGTAGTTGAACTTCTGAGGGGGGCTGAACAATTACATTTACATGTTATAAAGATTAAAAACTCCAGTTTATAAAATAAAAGTAGGCTACCTTAACTTGAATGAGTCCAGAAAGGATGTGCAAAGGATATGGTTTGTAGTTGTCAGCATCTTTTTGTGGTGTTGTGTTTCTACGTGATAATGTGTTCTTTTGGTTGTCATGTGTTTGTAATTGTTCTGTGTCTCCTTGTGTCTGTTATGGGGTGTATTTGCGTTTTTTTTTTTTTTTTTGGTTGTTTAGTTTCTCTGTGTAGTCATTTTGTGTCTCTTTTTAATGCCTTTGCATCTCTTTGTAGTTGTTTTGTGTCTCCTTCAAGTCATTTTGTGTCACTTTGGGGTATATCTGTGGGATTTTTTTAAGTCGTTTGTTGTCTCTTTGTAGTTCTTTGGTCCATCTTTGAAGTCATTTTGTTTCTCTTTGAGGTGTGTTTGTTTCTTTTTTGGTTGTTTTGTTTCTCTTTGTAGTCATTACATCTCTTTGTAGTTCCTTTGCATGTCTTTGTTGTCATTTTGTGCTCCTTCGAAGGTCAATTTGTGTCTCTCAGTTGAGTCCATTTTACTTGTTTTGTTTCTGTTTGTAGTTCATTTACCTCTCTTTGTAGTTATTTTGAGACTCTTCCTTGTTGATACATGTTGACTTGTATGACATTTTACAGGTGAAGGCCACTTTAGGTCCCTGGGTCTGTGTCCGGTAGGCCCTTTCAGCAATCCTGCCATGTGTTTAAGACAGAAGCTGCTGGCAACCTAAATGTTTATACAGAGTAACTTTGCCACTCTCAATCATTCACCTACCCAAAATGACACCTGAGGACCCCATAGGAGATGTACCTGAAGGTGCCATCATATGGGTCAATGATGTTCATTGTTATAACTTTGTCCAAATACCTTTGCTTGACCACCATAGCAGGCACAGGTAACACAGCGTGATCCCCACAGAATGTTGCCCTTGTCCCAAAATTTTAACATGATGTGACATCAACTTCTCATTTTATATCAAGACTACATAGGTCAGCAAAATGGCAATTCTTTAAAAATGATTATTTATTAAAATTAGATATTGGCTAATTGGCACTGCGCTGGTAATTTAGAGCAATTTCTTGTCCGCTGCTCTTCAAAGGTGATGTCCGGGGTGAAGCAGCAATCATATTTGGAGATGTTCAGTTTAAAACAGTTTAAAATCCAACCATAACAGTCTAAAATTAATATGATAAAAAAAATCACCATTACAGTAAAAAGCAAAAACAGATCACTGACACAAATTCATGATTTCGATTGTCCCAATTTTATCTTTAATTTCACACGTGTAGGTTACAATTTGCCATCATATTTTTTTAGGTATAATTGTCATTATGGGTCATTCTTGTTTGCAGAAAAATTATCACATTTTTTCATTTCCATACATGAAGAAGAAAACTTTTTTGCTGATTTTCATTTGTGTAATACCAAAGTCAGATTACACGCACAAAGATGGCATATCAGCCGGGATTTCTTTTGTCTTCTGCTTCTCATTTGAAAATAACATTTATAAAAGTATACATTCATTTGAAAAAACAAAACAGAAATTCTACTTTATCTGTTTTCCATAACAGTTAAAATGTGTTATTTTACAGACACATGTACCACAGTAAAACTTTTTTCCCATGAGGTCATATTTGCCATTCAGACCCCCATCTTCGTCCCAGACCTCAATCAGGATGTGGCTTTGGGCATTCTCAAAGGTAAACCACTGTTGAAACACTGTGGTCTGTTTGTTGATAATGACTGCAGTTGTCCTCGTCACTTTGCCAATGGTCACCTACATTGAATTTTAAAGTAGATACAAGATGGACACACATATGCATGTGAAACAAACTATTTCACATTCAGTGCTGCACTCATTTCCCCATATTTCAAGGTCATTTCTCAAGTTTTTGTTGCAAGAAACTGATCATTTTGAATTGTCAAATCACTTTTTAGACCTTGTAAAATATTAAATATGATTGCTTTCACTTGGCCATTGTCACCTTTAATTATTACCTGCAATTACAGTACATCTACATACACACTTTCTCACTTATGTAAAGAAATGGTGATGACCTACCTAAATATATGTGTCTGGAGGAGAGAACGTATCCCCACCATGTAGAAAGGAGTGGCTGGGATACACATTCACTGATTTCCCTTTGCATCCACTGAATCTATCGGTGGCTTCAGGGTGAGACAGTACCATCAACAGCAACAAAGGAACAAGAGCTGCGCACTTCATCCTCACTCTTCACTTCACCTGTGTGTGGGAGACAGTGAGCAGTAGAGCTGTGCAGACAGGCAGAAGCTCCTGCATGAGATGTGTTACAGACTCCAAATGTCATCTGCCAAAGAGATGGAGGGTTGGAGTACCGGGTTGGACTCGCTTTTTCATTCAGTACTGCCGTAATTCTTCATGGCATAGATTCAAGAGGTTATTGAAAACATTCTTAAGAGATTTTGGTCCATATTGACATAGTAGTGTCAAAAAGTTGTTGCAGATATGTCGGCTGCACATGGAGGCCATTAGACTACAGTGAACTCAATGTTATGTTCAAGAAACCAGTTTGAGAGGATTTGAGCTTTGTGACATGGTGCGTTATCCTGCTGGAAGCAGCCATCAGAAGATGGGTACACTGTGGTCATAGAAAACTGTTGCCTTTCTATCATCTTGAACCAGTCTGGCCATTAACCTCTGACCTCTGGCATCAACTAGGCATTTTCACCCAGAGAACTGCCGCTCACTGGATATTTTCTCTTTTTCAGACCATCCTCTGTAAAAACTAGAGATGGTTGTGGGTGAAAATCCCAGTAGATCATCAGTTTCTGAAACACTCAGACCATGCCGAGTTCAAAGCCCTTTAATTCACCTTCTTCCCCATTCTGATGCTCAGTTTGAACTTCAGCAGGTAGTCTTGACCATGTCTACATGACTAAATGCATTGAATTGCTGCCATGTGATTGAATGATTAGCTATTTGCGTTAATGAGCAGTTGGTCATTACTTCATCCTTCAATAAAAAGCAGCCTTATCTGATGATGCAGGCACATTTCTTTTTCATGTCAGTTATTTTTATTATATAAATTGCCAATTCTACAAAACAAAATCTCTATGTCTACTAACATCTTTTTGGCATGCAAGTCTGAACATCTGATCGACTCATGATGATGCTGGGGCAGGGGTCCCTCTTGCTCCTGCTCCTCCTCCTCCTCCTCCTCCTCCTCCTCTTCTCCTGCTCTTCGGGAACTCACAGATGAAAAACATGGTGGCTTCACACTCCACATGACTCCATGTCCCAGTGCTGAGCAGCTCCACGCAGCTTGAGTTTGTGGTGGGAGATACACTGGAACTGAGATCATCTTGACTCCAGGCTGCAAACCCCTGCAGAGGGCTGGAGTCTGCATAAACATGACTGCTCGTTCCATCCTGATGACAAAAACATAGAGGAGATAAAATGAGAAAGACAGTAACAACAGGGAGCACTCTCGAAACATAGTTACTCATTATTTAACCAGCAGGAGAACTTAGCCCCAGACACTCATCCTCCAGTTGCCAGTACAGATACTCATCCTCCTTTAGAAAACAGATGCAAACATGGATAAACAGACCAAAAATTGAAACTCCACCTGCTGCAGTGTGTGTGTGTCAGGACCACTTACTGTGTCCTTGCTCTGAACCTGCACTCCGATATAAACTCTTGTCAGTCCTGCCTGACTGACATAGTCTGCCATTAGACGGTTGGTGTTGCTGGTTTTTGGCATGGCCAGTGTGCCTCCTCTCAGCTTGCAGTTCATTGAAGCCTCTCTGAACCTCTTGGGCTCCTTCACCAGCAGGTAGTACCTCTCTTCTGTTTCCTTCAGCCCTAAGATGACTGCACAGGACAGGGTTTAGAGTTAATTTCATTGACTGTGAGCAGGTCTCAGTGACTTTGGGCTGCCTCTAACTCTGCATTCATGTGGTATTGGAACAATTGGAAAAACAATTGACTGGGAAAATTCACATGAATACAACAACTCAGAAATGCAGTAAAAAAGGTCCTAGGAGGTTAGGTTGCTTTCCATGACGCTCTTCATATAACATAACATAAAACATACATATTTTTGCATCATGTTCAACCACATGACGGTTAGGGCACTGACATGGCATTATCAATAAAAAATAAGGCTGTCTTTTATGGCAACCCCACTATGGATATTAGATCAAAGGTCACAGGAAAAGAGACAAAAAAATGGAGAGAGCAAAAGCTTGTGTGTCTTCATCGAAGTTAATCAAATTTCATGCCACGAGTAAGCAAAGCCACGAAGAACCTCAATACTCAAGTCATTTTTATAAATGACCAAAATGCATTTTACATTGAAAATAACATCAACGTCGTAAGGGAGGGTAATATAAAAAACAGGAATTAAGTGACAAAACAAAATAAAGACAAATTTTTAACCAAACCATGGCTTATTAATTCATAAATTCAATATTAACTCCATATATTTTCTCACTCTATATTTTATCTTTAGAGATGCATGCCGTGATTTTCACACTTGTGAGGATGTTCAGCTGGCTTACTGTCACTTCACTTACTGTAGTGTATGCTAAACCAGTGGTTCCCAACTGGTAGGTAGTGGTCCAAAAGTGGGTCATGGGTCCATTCTGAATGGACTGCAAGCGACTTGCAAACATGCCATTTGTAAAAAAAAAAAAAAAAGTGCAGTGGATTTCAAACGCGCAACCTCTATTCTGAAGAGCTGGTTCCTGCTGTAGAGCGAGGGACTAACAGACAGCTACCTAACAGAGACAGCAAACTAGCTCAAAGACTTGGCCAAACTGAAGTATTAAACTGTGTGGACCCTGAACTAAGGACTGAGGAGAACACAGGGAGGACCCTGTGGCTGGACCAGTTGGGAACCAATGTGCTAAACCATAAGTATCATACAGTACTATTCAGCACTCACCATTCTTCACAAACTTGACAGCATTCCTCAGCTTGCCCACATTGATGTCCAGCTGTCCAACCACCTTCCTGTACCTGCCGCAGTCACATGTCGTGCCTGATGGATTAAACAAAGGCAAGCACATGATTTGAGTGTGTACGGGATTTAATAGCACAGAATCACCATCCTGCACTGTGACTGTGACAAACTGTATCACAGTATATGACTGTAAGACCTTACAGTAGAACACCACTGTGCTTTCTTGTTGTGTGATATGAACGCTATTTAAGAGCCTCAGTCACTAGATGAAGACAAATCCTGCTGCATGGCAAACAACTGTTCCACCCTAGCCTTGGGGTATTTAAATTGATATCCAAGAAATTCAATATTTGCAATGCCACTCCAGTGTGCAGGCGTACACACCCAATAAAAACACTGTCCTGATATTATCTGACAGCTGAGTTGTATTTAACGCTGCCCTGCTGTATTCCTGCAGTAGAAACATCTTCAAGAATGTTCAGAGTCATTTTATAGGGACCAGCCACAAATAAATGTTTGTTTTATTTAATGAACTGAGTGACACCAATATAGTTTGCCCAACTCTATGTTTACCAATTCAAACCCACTTACAAAACTGACTGTTGAAATGTCAGTAGATGCGGTTACATGGATATAACTCACCTGTTTATGAGGCTCATCCTGGTTATGATCATATTTGGGATATGGTGTTCACATTAGCACAGAGAAATCATTCATATTCCTAGCACACATCCCGATTTCTTCCCAGCTCGGGTTTCTCATGAACAGAATATGGTGTTTACGTGCTCAAACACATCGACCAGATACTCCAAAAATTTGATCATAAATGGGATATTTATGTCCACGTAACCACACTCACTAGGCTGTTTATTAGTAAATGAAAATAGCTGTAACATCACGTTGGTCTGAGAGGAGCAGAATGATGGGTATCTTCACATACTCACCTGGTTTCCCTTTTAATCCAGAGGGACCATCCAAACCTGTATCACCTTTGTTACCTGCAGAGGGGTAGAAATTTAATGTGAGACATGTCTTACAATTCCGACATCTGTGATCCTGGCTGTTCACTTTTTAATGTTTTCAATAGCTTCAAATATGAATAAATAATACAGTACTATGACTGACTATCTACAGATAATTCAATATGCTGACAGCTTCTTGTGTTATTTCATTGCATTGTGATGTAGTTGCAACATTTCACCACCAGATGGCTGTATCATACATGAAACATTTTGAATATGGCCACACACAGATGCAGATATACAAAGGTCAAATTCTGACCTTTGTAGCCCAGATTTAATTGTTTCTAATATATGTATACATAACATGACAAGACAAACATTTCTGAAATATAGAGATGTGGGTAAATAGTAAGCTTGTGCGCAAATGTAATCCAGAACATATTCACTTGTATGTGAGCTTCACTGAGGTAACTGACAGTTGCACATTTTGGGGAAGTGGGCTGCAGTACAAACAGCACAACAGGCTGTTTTTGTGTGAGGACATATTGTACCCGTACAATCTGATCAGCCTGAGTAAGTCCTGTGATGAAATACAGTTACAGTTTGAGCACCCTGACGAAATGAAAAGTCAGCATTTCCGACTTAAAACTTGTTGTCTTGTTGCCAATATAGAAGCTCTGTGAGTTATGAGGATAAAAATGCGACTAGATGTGCAGTGGGAGCATATAGTTCAATTCACCCCAAACAGTCCGGCTGTTTTATAGTTTTATAGCTTTAGATAGTTGTTCTTTTGCCCGAGCTAAATGTAAGTCCTGTAAACACTCTAATAATAAGCCGACATATGCACTGAATTATAGCAGAAACAAGGAATACGTTCTCATGTATCGTAATCTTATCTTGAATGAACTCCAATTTTGTAAACGTAGATATGCAGCTATTTTCTGTGAGTGAGCCTGTAACAGGATCAAACTTCTGTAAAAGAGTAGCTGAATTTTTGCAGATTCCGCTAAAGCCGACACTGCTCTGAAAATGCGTTTTCTTTCCAGGTGTTTTATGAGCTGCAGGCGGTCAGGATCAAGGAAAATCCAAACCTGTGACCTCACTCCTTTTGCCCCAAGATGGCTGATGCACAGCCACTTTCCTGTAAGTGTATTAAACCTAATGAATACTGAGAAAAAAAGAATGGATGCCTAGAAAGGCACGGGAACATGAATGCTCATAAAAATAAAGATAGAAATTGTTTCAGCCACCCTGGCAAAGCGGCCACATGACATCAGACTGTAGGATTATGTTTTTTTCTATCTTTGGTTGTGATAATTTAAAACATAAAAGAAATAGGAAAAATTTCTCCCTGTGTGTATTAGTCTTGGGACTAATTTAGTTTGCTGATTTGTGTAGAAATGTCCGTTCTACTTATTTTAATGTTTTGAGTCTATGACTATGGAGCTGCAGTCCAAGCCGAGGAGGAGTCCAGGAAACTGTATTTCTTCTTTTAGGCAATTATAAAGTCATTAAAATCATGTAGAAACCTCACAGCTATATTTTTGGCATTTTTGCAGTGTGCTCTGGGCAGGTTCAAAAAGTGGAAGCAAGACAAATTCACACAGAGTTGAGGGTTATAAAGTCCATAATTCTTCCTCTCATTTTTTTGGTGCTCTCTCTTGTTTGATTTATTGTGTACAGCCAGTTTGATTTCCTAATGGTAATGAATCCTCTAGGTATATCTAGTTTGGGGTTAAAGATAAAGAAAAAGAGAAAATGATAGAGAAGGAAAAAGAAAAGATAAGGTTTACGTTCGATGAGAAATGACTTATTTGTTGTACCATTATCTCCAATAGGCCCCATCTTCCCTGTGTGTCCCGCCTTTCCCTCAAGCCCCGTCTCTCCTGTCAGTCCTGGGGATGAAAAGAAAGAAAGATGGAGGATGAGAGGAAGGGAGAAAGGAGGAGTTGTTCATGGAGACAATGTAGGGCCTTTGAGACACAGCAAAAGAGCCTCATCATCTCGGCCTGAGATTCTGACTTTCCAGCACAAAATGCACAACACACAGAAAAAGCTAGCATACACAAGCCGCAGCAGAACCCCACATTTGATCTCAAAGTATTACTGCTAACTCGCTTCATCATATTTTTTTCAAAGATCCTTTATTCTGTCGTTCAGGCTTGTCATATTCTTACAATTAAGACTTGGCGTTTCGTGGCTTTCATCATTTTTCTTTTGTTTTTTGATTATTTTGTTGTTCTCGAGCCTAATCAATATAATTGCGTTCTCCCAGAGATTGCCTGCCCTGAGGCTTTTTTCCAACAATCGCTGCATAGCTCGGTTCCTAAATTGATGCTGTTATTGCTATTATTATTTTGCCAGTAAATAAATTAGAGGCGGAAAATGCTGATTTATTTCGGGCACTAACTGGAGGCTGTTTGTGGAGCGAAGTCTGTGAGAAAGTGGCGTGAGGTTGTTTCAGCGGGCCCCGGTGCATGCTATATGATAGACTTGAGCACACGCTATTGTGCACGTATTGTCTTGTCACATGATCAAACAGGGACTTGACACTGGACATTAACACATACAGTACCCAGCAATCATCATTAGATATCTGTATATGACAGAAAATTATGAAATGAATTTGATTTAATATTTTTTATTGTTTATTTATAATTTAAGGAGAAGTAGTTTTGTCGAGGGCATATATGGCAAATCACAACATTTTTAATTTAATGAAAGTTCTTCTTTGAACACAGGCATATTTCCAATCGACCATAAGGGCCCATTCTCCCCCCAACACGTTGTTGGAAGGCCTACTCTCTATATGGGCCCCCCACCAGTACACTGCACTCTCTATATTTACGCCCCTGCAAAGTATGCATTGTCGCCGGTTTAGCTGATTTAGTCAAAATGGAAGTTCACCTTTAAAATGTAATAAACAAATAAAGTAAATAATAAAGTAAATGCATGTACTTACTATTTATTTGTGTAATTGTATTACCTTCAGAGTGTGTAAAGTTCTGTTATACACAAGTTCATTTAAACATTCATAGAGATTATCTGTTGTTACCATTGATCTGATTGTTGTCACCACAATGCCTGTAACAGATACAGTCCTTCTGTAATCTGATTACGTCAACTGTCACTTCACAATCATATTAAGGCTGTTACAGTTCGGTGTCAAAGAGATACTGAGAGGGGTGCATGGTTTTGGATGTTACAGTGAAAGTGTAGAACAGAGAATATCAGAGTGTGTGTGTGTGAGAGAGATCATGTGCATGTGTGTGTGTCCGTGTCTGTCCGTGTGTGTGTGTGTGTGTGTGTGTATGGGAAAACTACAGAGCAGACTGGAGGCTTTCTGCCAGCATTTGAACGAGTATTTCCTCAGGAAACTATTCAGCTGGAAATTGATGGCGTTTGAAATACTAAGTGACACATTAGAGAGGCCTACTGCTTTTAGAGGGATTCGCCACACACACATACATATGCACAAGCGCACACATACACACACACGCACACACACATACAGCCAGCTATTCACTACTATTTCCCATTTCCCACTTCCTCATGTTGATTTTCTACTTGATGATTTGTGAGAAGTGTTGGCGGAGGGTGTGAGGTCTTATGGATTGTGTGAGGTCTGGTAGACATCGAAAAGCTGTGGCTTATGGGAAACTGCAGTATTTCACCATGATCTGTGTGCTATTTTTGCGTAATTTTCACTATGCATGCCTGAGGGAATACTTTAACGATGCTGTCCCGAGAAGCGATTGTGACCCATGATTATAGGTGTTTGTTTTTCGCTATACGAAGATATTTAATCTGCTGGTCTCTTGTTATTCCTTCTGTGTCTATAAAAGCTGATTAATGTTGTTTTCCCAGTGCTTATGCTTGCCAGTTAAACCGTCTATCTAAATTTCCAGATAACAGTCCTCCCTATCACTGCAGTCGCTCTTTATAATGGCCAACCCCTCCAACTGGTTTAACGTCTGGATTCTCCAGCTGCTGGAGGATAAATGAGGTGAAGGCCACATTTTTCATTCTAATCACAGAGCCTGAGACAACTTTAAGCTATTTCAGAAGGGCTTAACGGACTAGACATTTTTGAGGCTTGATATAACAAAAATACAAGAGATTAAAATGCTAAGCAGGCCTCAGATCAGATCGTTCACTGCACACTGTTTGCTCACATATAATGAGCAAATATGAATACTGGTATTTCTGCTTTTCAGAGTTCAGTCGACAGAGAAAAGAGAGCTGCGTCACATGAAACAAAGGCCTTCAGCCAGGTTTTCCATTTGCGGTACATATGGTTCATGCAAGCTGTCCCAACAGGTTCTTCCCAAAAATTAAAAACCTTATGTAACACCTAACTCTGCAGTCTGTACCACTGACATTTCCCACCTAAACTCCACCAGCAGCTTTACAGTAAATGTCGCACAATTAACAAACGCAGAAATCCAGCACAAGGGTTTGTTGACATTAATAAGCTTGGAGCAACAAATTGTTTTTGTTGCCCTCCGGAGCATTCACAGTCATGTATTCCCTTTTAACATTCCAAAATTAAGCAACTGCTTCCTGTAAAACGGCCTAACTTAAGACAGGGAATACATGCGTCATCTGTTGAGCTGCTGACATACTGCAGTCACAGATTCATCATAGGTACCTGCGTTCATTCCTACAGCGAGCGTACGCACAGTAAAAACCATAATGATTGGGTTTGCTATTCTGTTGAAAAATATGTGCAAAGTTGAAAAAGGGTTCACATGTATAGATATATATGTATGCTTTGTTTCTCTTAACAGTTTTGGAAAACACTCGGTCAGTCCTGGCATGTGTCCTTCACACGGTCTGATGAGTGAAGTGTGTCTGGTGTTGTGGAGTGTGTGCATGTATGTGCTTGTGTGTGAGGACGTCTGGGTGAATAAAACAAACATCTGTGGAGAGCAAGAGGGCAGCCAGGAAGCAGTGCTTTTATACTGTTTGTGTGTATATACAATTATGTATTGTGTGTTTGTACATCTACCTCCTTGTGTCTATATGCTTGCATGCCTTGTGTGCATATAGTATATTGTGTCTGAGTGTGTGTGTGTGTGTGTGTGTGTGTGTGTGTGTATGGGGAGACATCTGTATATATCATATGGCTGGTTTGTTGGCCAGCTAGTCTACCAGCCCAGTTGGAACACATGGTGAAGCAGGACGCCGCTGCTTTCCTCAGCAGCAATTAACACGTCTGCTTCCGCCACAGAAACACAGTAGTTTTGGTCTGTCTGTCCATATGTCTGTCTGTCTGTCTGTCACAGAGCAAAGGAAAGCAGGCTGTACAGAGCAGGAAAAAGCAAAACCTGCTGCCAGGGTGAACTCACACAGGCTGTCTGGAAACTCACTGTACAGAAACTAAGACATGATAGTTTGTCCATATCACAGCAGCAATGTAAATGATTTGTGATATAGACGGGTGAAGTCAGACTTTAAGCTTCTGTGCAAACATAAGAGAGACGTGAGGCATTCCCGCCCATTACTTTCGCTGTTTTTATTCCACTTTCAATTGTCTGTACACATGTACATATGTTGCAACCCTGCCAATGAAGACAGAAGAGCAGGATTTTTCAGCAACACCAGGAAAAGCACAGGTGTAAATGATAAAATGCACCACACACTACTACCGCACACTGTCATGGCTTACTGGGACACTGGAATTACACAGAGCCATCGTTAATCTCACGTGCATAGGCTGTATAATGGAATGGACATAATAAAAATGGGCGACATGACAGCTCCCCAAAAGTAAAGCCAAAACATCTTGATCGCCCCCTGGTGAGTGGTGTTAGAGGGGTGGGATTATTCCACCACATTTCAATACTAATGATTTTTTTCAGGATTTTTCATTATAAAAAAAAGAGTTTAATTTTCTAAATAGAAATGTGGCAACCATTGTTCTAGTCTTCCAAACTTTGCAAAGTATAGTTCAATCATCACCAAGCAATACACAGTGACCTACAACTGGCCTATGTCACTGTTAGTCAACCACATGTTTTCAGGTTCCAGGTTTCTTCTGCTCGAGGGATTTTCAAGTTGATTCTACTGTGACTCATGGAGTAATTTAGCCAGTGTGGGTGCCATTTAAACAGACCAGGAGTCACTGTGATTATGGTAATACTTGTCCACTGCATCATCTTCAACCACAGTCTGATAACAAACCAAAATGTTATTTTATTTGGACTGTAATGCTGGCTTTAAAGGGGAATTTTACAGATCAAAGTCTGTGTAGGGGTCTTGGGGAGTATTACTACATAATATAAAAAGCATTTAGTGGCTCTCTCTGGAGTGATGTCAAGTGTAGCTGCTCATCTCTGCTTGAGGCTAGTGGCTCAAGGCTACATTAGCCGCCACTAGCATACACACACAGTCCTCCACCTGAGCTGTCTGCAGTTAAGATGCGTTATGGGTAATGTATGCATCAGGTTTTAACAAGGAGAAAGAATGCATGGAATCAACAGGACTAATTGGGCTGTATTCAAAACCTCTTCTCTACTCACAGCATGTACTGATCTGGCCAAAATGTAGGACGTAGTATGCAAACAAAAGCAAATTCTGCAGTATGGCAAAAACACCTGGATGTTGAGTATGCATTGGACCAATCTACCTTATCTACTGTGTCACATAATGCAAAGCACTGGAATGGTCACAACAGCCGGTCATGGTTAAAATGGCAGTCATTCGCCTTCTGCTATCTTCATTATGTCACATTATGGCCATATAACCATGTGCAGATTATGGGACAATGGCCCCCTGGGCACAGATGTGCAAAAGGCCCCACTGGCTCTTCAACATAGCGACAGTTCACACTGACCTTTTGGTTGTGCCTCTTTTTTGCTGTTGTTTTGCATCTCTTTGTAGATGTTTTGTGTCTCTTTGGGGTCTTTTCGAGTCTCTTCCTGGTTGGTATGTGTTCATTTAAGTGACATTTTGCAAATGAAGTATGTCGTAGGAGGTTCTACTGCATTGATTTTATTCTTGGTGCAGTAATAATTTATCAGGGATGTGCCTTGTATTGTTTTGTTCCCATTTCTTCTTTACAATAGCCAGTTATAACAAAATAAATACGCTCTCCCCCTCAATATACAGCATATGCTCCATACCTGGAAGTCCTGGTGGTCCATTCTTTCCCAGTTTTCCCTGATCTCCCTCCTCTCCAATCTCACCTTGGTCCCCTGGATTATAAAGGAAAGACAGTAAAGAGGAGTTCAAAAGTATAAGGAGAACTTGTTTCCTGTTATGTTTCATGCACAGTTCAGGTCAGAAGGGGCCTCTCAGAGGTAGTTTCCAAGGTAGCTTACTTTCCTGTTGAGGCAGGGATTAAATCTGTATATTCCCACTCACTGCTGGCATGGATGAAATATTGAAGCCATCACAGGATGATGATACATTATCAAAACTCAAGGCTGGCCAAGAACTACTACAGCACAGCGCCCGGGACAGTGAGTGTTTGCGTACGAGATTCTGAGCAGGCCCACTTGTGGGTTCGGGTGCAAGTCCTACTGTAAGGTTAAGTTTGAATCAACTTTGGATGTTTATAAAAGTCTTTTGACTCTTCATATTCCATTTTAATCTACACTCATCTGAGCCAATATCATTTTCAAAAGCACTTACTTGTTTTAAGTATTAGTGACACCACATAGTTTGCAGAGTTGAAAGCACAAACGAGATGTAGGAGAAATATCTCTGGTGGGTCCGCTGTTCAAAGAGCTCTTGGCAAGAAATCTTGAGAGGTTTCATCTGAGTGTCTATTAAAGCTGTAATTCTGCCCCAGTTGTTGATGCCAACAGCTCTTTATATCTTGTTAAGTGCTGGGCTTTTGAAATGAAAGACTGTAACAAACCCCCTCCATTAGACTGGAGGAGTACTTAGGAAAATTGATTATTCAGTTTTGCAGGCTGTGTAGACATTTTCAAGTAACCTAAATCACTGTAATTTATAAATGTTTCTGCCTGCGTGAAATGATTTCCTTTTGTGGACTACTGAACTGAAACCACGTACAATTACATTACTAACACGCCTCACTTGTGTGATTAAGATGTCAAATCAAAGAGAGGTTTTCTGTGTCAAAAATATTCTGGCATTGATTGAAGCAGCGGGATCCCTTTATGTGACATAAGTGAGTAAATTCAAAGTTTGTCAGCAAACTTTTCTCAAAGAAACCAAAGTGTTTTGACATACTTGTGTCTCAATGACAAAATAATATGCCAGTAAATCTACAGCTGAGGTCAAAGTACCCGTAAACGCAATAAAAGCATGTTTGTTGGAAAAAGTTAAAATAAATAAGAACAGTTGTGTGGACATTTTTTCGGGGTATGTAACGTAGAAAAATGCACGTCCGGCACCCACTCAAATACGCAGCTGTGAGAATACACACTCCCAGAGACCGCCTGTGGTCAGCAGTATCTGAGATGAGTCTTATCCAAATAATCAGTTCAGTTTATTGGCAGCTGTATAAATACACGCTGCCACAATGGGACTTTTTTACCAGTACAGAAGATTCAGTGGAAAGCTGACAAAATGTGCACTCACTTCCAAGTGAAAGTGTACGTGATGTTACTGTTCCCTTTTCACTTTCCTGATAAACACCACTTCATAGTTCAGTAACTACTTTTATAAAATATTTGTCCACAAGAATGAAGCTAGTTAACAATTTTCTGTGTTCCAGAACTTAAAGCCAATTTTTTGCAGTAGCCTGAATGGAGCTGAAAAACAGTTGCTTTGCTTAAGTGTGTATTTTATTGGGTCTGTCTGTCTGAATCAGCGGGGGAACAAGCTACTGGATGTCGTAAAATAGAAAGCACACACAGGGAGGCATTCCCTCCAAAAGACTATGGGGTAACAGACTACTGGCTATAAACTGCAGGACATTACATGCTTGCTACCTTCATCACCAGCTCTATAAACCCTGAAGCACATTAGGGGTGTTTCCCTCAGAATTTTCCATTTGACACCTATAGGTACTGACATTTACATTGTAAGGACATTCAACTAACTCTCCTATACATTTATTGTAAGGTCATAAACTTGTATAGTTTCACCTCCAACAGTGTGAAGAGACAATAAGACTGCAAGCACCCAAGAACCCAAACAGTCTATTAGAGATTTGTTAGTGTTGTTGTTGAATTACTGCATCACACAGATTTGTGCATTCAATAAGACATTTGACTAAAATGTTTAGGTACCATATAGTCAGGTTTAAAAACAAACACACCTACACAGGCAAGCTCAAAGCGAATTCTGGGACTTGCATTACCTTTAGCTCCAGGTAGAAGGGTGTTGGTGCAGACTTCTGTCGAGGCAGAGATGTAGTTCAACACGGCTGCAAACACACAGAGCACCAACACTCCCATCATATCCCAGTCATCACTGACCACTGAAGAAGATCCTGATTTTCAGTAAAGTATCTCATGCGCCAGTGTGCACCGAATGATAGTTTTAACCACAAGACCAGAGGATCAGTGCAGCGCTAATGAGCAAACACGCTGCAGAGAGGGTCAGAACAGAGCTGTGCTGTTTAGAGAGCACACAGACACAGACACACACACACATACACACACGCACATATACTTGTTTATAGAGTCTTATCAGTCACTTGTCATAATATCAAACAACACTTAACAGATCACTGCATTCCTGTACATCTTGCCCCTTGGAACTGACCCTTTGCTAAGTCCCGCCCCTGGACGCAGACTGGCCAATCATAACATAGCATCAGGCCGGCTCAGACCAGTGTCTGACATCAACACAGCTGTGCTCCATTGACTCTGATGCAATCGTTTCAGATTTTCTTCATTTTCGGGCTGGTTTTGTGGATTTGGAGCTAAATGTTGTGCCTGGGGCACGTTGTGTATTAATGATACTCGTTACCTGGAGAGGGTGGAAAAAGATTTCTTCCCTGTTCCAAAACCAAAATCAAACCCTGAAAAGTGTAGGGTTAGCTAGCTAGCTACTGAAGATATAGCCTACTGAATGTATACACATGGTGCTTTTGCTCTGTAATGATTATAACAGTGAATAAAGACCAACCCTGCTGTACAGGAACCAGTAAAGGGAAGCAGGGAACCTTTGCTGATATTCAACCAGCTGTGTGTCATCGCAGTGTGCCCAGATGAATGTTGTTTGACTTCTCCCAGAGATCTCTGCCCATCCGGGTGCTGGTGTTCATCTGCACACACTGCAATGCCACACAGCTGGTTCAATATCAGCAAAGTTTCCATTTATATTCATTGTCTTCTGTGGTGATCAGCAGTGATGTGGTGGTTCACTTTTACACTGTGATCTGTAGCCTATAGTTCGGCTTTAGCTTCTAACTATCTTTGTCTTTTTAACCTGTTGTTGCTGCTGAGTCAGTTTGACATCCTGGATATATCCTTCAAACACAGACTGTAGACCCCTCTGTCTGCTTCTCTCTGAAATCACTGTTTCATGTTCCCCCCCAAAAAATGATAATATTTCTTCAGGGAGTGCAGTTAGTTACAGTGTGGACTCCATGCTTACTCTGACAGCTTGTTGGACCACCACAAAGGGGCGGGGCTTAGCGAACGGTCAGTTTGAAATTGTATTATTACAAATGCAGTTTATAACATAATTTAACACTGAGAGATCAATAGATGAACAACAGTAGCATTAGGTATAATACGATGTGGTGCAATTATTTCTATATGTTCACCAACTTTCAAGGTAAACCGTACTTTGACTTAAATGATATTACGAATCACAGAGGCTGGGTCTGAAACCACTTTCTATTTGCTACCTAGAGCACTTTTTACACCTGTCGCCATTTCATTTAAGTGTGTTAAATACATAAACTATATAGTGCCCTTTAATATTCCCGTGAAAGAGAAATTGTCCCCATAGTGTTCACATTGTAAAATTGCACAGTGCAATGTTGCATCTGATGGATGTTAAATTGACAGTTATGTAACAACACACAGATAACCGACTGTTCCATAGATACATTACAGTAGTTTTTAAAATATAAGGCAACAATATAATGTAATTTATCAAAGTGAAAATAAGTAAACAGTGTCAGTTGACAATGAATTAACTGTGACATGCTGGAAATTTTTGATGAATCATCTGAAATATAATGTAAACATTTAGGCTCCATGGAGAGTGCACAGTGTGTAATGTTAAACATGCCTGAGTCAGAAGCGACTGGAATGTTTTCTTATCAACAACAAGGGAGTAGCACCTCTGGGCCTGCACATTTTTTCTTCTCTTCTCTTCTTCTTTTTACTCTTCCTCCCACCCTTCAGACCACAAACCATTTAGTGGGAGAGGTTTTACGCTTACACACGCATGCACACACACACATAGAAACAAACACACAGATGTATATTACGAACGTGCACACATATACACGCCCACGAACACAAAGACAAGACAAAAAAAGTGTCCGTGCACAAAAAAAAAAATTAAAAAAATGCATGCACACACACAGATTATTGCATAATTGCATCCTCTGGTTTGTCACTATGTGAAGAAAACATACAGGGATTAGAGGGTTTGGAGGCCTCAGCGGGGCAAAGGAAGGGAGGGGGGGTGGTTGACATAAACTGAGAAAAGAGACAGAGAAGAAATAATGAGAACAAATGAGACATAATTAGAGAAGAGCACACAGAGAGACAAGAGACAGAGCAAAGAACAAAGTAAAGAAGAGAGTGTGGTCAGAGCCACATGTCTTGGCACAAAGCGCAATTTCCTTATTCCAGAGCTATGCTTCCTGGGATGTCTTAAGCTCTCCATCACTGAGGCAAGTCATCAGGGGCGTTAGTGCGCTCAGTCCTTTGAAGTTCAGGGAGGGGTTGATCTTATCGAGACTATTAATTGGAAGGAGAAGAAAACAAGCAGATTCATCTTAATCAGACACGGGCTGTTGCTCCCTGAGGGACCGAGCTGGCTTGTGATCACTTTGAAAAGCAGCCGAAGAATTGAATGGTTCGCTGCCTGTATCGTTGTTGGCGTCTTATCATGTTATTTGTATTTACATCCTTAGAATACACCCAGTATTGGCTGGGAAATGGCAACACATTTTTCTGCTTACTGTCAAGTTACAACTTATTTCAACTGTTGCTAATGCTGCGCTCTTCAAACAAAATAATATAGACCTGTTACACAATTGGGCAAGTTGCAGTCATTAATCAGATCTTGCTGCTGATTGTAATGTTTGTTTTGGGTTTTCTTTGAAAAACATTTTGAACACACACACACACACACACACACACACACACACACACACACACACACACACACAGAGGCTTGAAAATATTTCAGGCCTTACACACTTGATATCAGGGAGTCTGACAAGAGTTTCTTTTGGCTTCTACCACTGTTTGCTCCAAGCTTCAAAGTCTATATCATTTCTGCTGAGGAATTTGTCGATGTTGAGAGCTGTGTATTTTGGTACGAGGGCTCTTTAATGGCTCTGGCATTTGGTGTCGCTGACAAAAACTGGCGAGCTGGTGCGGCTTTTTTAATGACAGTTCAAAAGAAACAACCAATGCCAACAGCACGCATTTGTGTGGCCAACGTCATAAAATAAAAGTCATACGTGGCGGCTAACAGTCACAAACAAAGCCATTAACACTGACATGGGAACAGTTACTGTTTGATTGACCCTTAATGAAATAAAAAGGGTGAGAATGCTGAAGGCATTCCTCTCAGAGCACTGGATTCTAAACCAAAATCAAAATATCAGCCCAGTTGCTGGAAAAAAATGTTGGCATGTATGTTTCTGCAAACCACAAATATGTGGCACTTTCATATGTGACATATCAACGTTTCTAAAGTGATGACATTGTCATCTGAAATTGGAAGGGGTGGTGGATGGCATGGCATCCAGACGAGATACCTGCCAAGCTGCAGATCACTGTTCGAGACCAAAAAAAACCCCAACAACAACGGTGCTTTTTTGGCAGCCCTTTGTAGCATTTCCACTGGTGTATCTTGCACCAAACCTAGTGTCTTTAGTGGCACATTGCAATGTTGCACAGCGTCATTTGTGGCACTGTGTTTACTACTGAACCTGGGTGTATTTTAACGGACACATCACAGCATTTCCCAGCAGTGTTTGAGCCACAATACATGGGTGTTTTACATAGACACAACATAGTTATACAGCTGGCGAGTGTGGTTTGGTAGAAAGAAAATAGTTCCTACGTAAAACTGCAAGTGTATCACTGCGCAGAGACAAACATGCATCCACTCATGGATGAAAGGCTCGTGCTTGTGACAGCATGAGATGAAAACATCAATGACATCCTCCTTGGCTGAACTGTAATTTTAGCAAGCTCAGTGGTGCGCTAGTAGCAGAAGCATGCTTCCTTGCACGCGATGATCAAGTTGGTGGGTGTAGTTTGGCAGAAAGAAAATAGTTCCTACCTGAAGCAGGTCACAACAAGTTATCTTATGTAACCGGGTCACGATTTCTGGAAAAAGACATCCCTGTTGAGTTTTTCAAATGTTATTTTGTGGCGCTTTGAGCACCACAAGCTGAGTGCCATTTAATTCCATTATATTTAAGGGAAGGCAGACTCCCAGCAACTTATATCAAAACAGGGGCGTCGGTGGCTTGGTGGTGGAGCGGGCGCCCCATGTGCGGGGCTGTTGCCGCAGCGGCCCGGGTTCGGGTCCGGCCTGTGGCCCTTTGCTGCGTGTCATCCCCTCTCTCTCCCCCTTTCACACTTGGCTGTCCTGTCCATTGGAGGCAAAAAATGCCCAAAAAATTATCTCTGTAACTTCAACATACTCATTAGTTGTACTCTACCTACTTGTGACTATTTTCACTGAGTCTGTATTGTTTGTTGTCTGATATCTTTTTTTTAACGCGTGTCCATTTTTGTAATTTCATTTAACTAGATAATAAAAAACAGCTTATGTGTAGAGTCGTAGATGGTGCACTGTGTGTGTGTGTGTGTGTGTGTGTGTGTGTGTGTGTGTACCATCAGTTATCAATCATTCTTTCAATCTGTGGGGACTTTCTCTGTTACAGTGTTTCAGGAGAGGTCTGGGAAAGTGCAGCATTCCTACACACACGCACACATACATAGGAACAACCCTACTATCCTGAAGGCTAATTGTTTACATGTGGTTTAGATTGTGTTCTCTAATTAAGAATGTGATTCACACTCCTGGATTGAGGGTTGACTCTGTCGTGGTAACCACACCACAAAACAGCCCTGTTTTCTCTGCTGCTTAAAAACCCATTTACAACACTGGAAGAACCATTCATAGCATAAACTGCTCACATGTGTGTCAGTGACAAATCAGACAACAGCAACTTAAGCATATAAAATGTTTACCTAACCTCGGCTCTGAACCACATTAATTTACTGGTAGAGCGCGAATTTCATTGTTGGCCCAGTTACAGCTGTGGAAGTGACTGCGCTGCCTGTGTTTCCTGGTAATTATGGGGGAATCGGGCACAGACAAAGACTTTTCTCTGTAAAAGCAGCAAGACGTGCGGCACAGTGTGGTGACAGGCAAAGTCACTCACTGAGTGATCTC